CCTTAAAAATCTTCACGCGCAATCTGCTCAAGCACTTAAAAAGGGTTTCTTAGCAATCTTTTTTGCATTCACGAGCCTTGAAAATTCCTTTTTGACATATGCATGCAAAACTAACTTGATATTCAGCAGTCATGTGTTGACATTGATAACAAAGGAAAGACGATAGCATTTTTTGCTAGTTATAATTGCTTGTTTATACCTTTTTTTCTAAAAGTTTTGCTGGAGATGCTAGAATCAAACACTCAGTGTAATTGCAAAGAAACATAACTAAGTCACCCATTTTTTGAAAAGTTGAATGGAACTTACTTTCCGGTTTCGAGGTCGCAAACCATCGCCGGCAATTCCTCATGTTCATTGATTGTTTCGCTTCTCAGCACTCCGTTATTGTAGTCTTAAAGTATTCTATTTGATTATATCCCTAAACGAAAGCAAAATATGATAGAAATCTCACATGTAAAATACCCATTCGCATAAAGGTCCGAGTAGGCAAAATCCGTATATTCATCATCGGATTCCCATGTTGGGCTGTAGCGGAGCTCGTCCTCTTCAGGAGGTACTACTGGGTAAGAAGCCTCAGCTGATACAGGTAGCATAAGGAGTGCCTGAAACACGTAGAATGAATGTTTTATGACTAATTGATCGGTGACTGTTTCGTCTAATCGTGCAACTGGTGAAACGAGCGGCAGAAGTTCGTTATGTCCTTTGACACATAAGGAAAGTTCAGTTGAAGGAGAGCATATTACAGCGTAATTTTTCGCGAAAGGGTAGGTATGGCAAGGCGAATGGATCTCAAATAGATAAGATCTAGTAATTGGTTCCGTGTCGTTTCCTGCGTCGAGTTCATCGCTCATTTCTTTCAATCTACTATCTAAAATTCTGCAAAATTTGGTGGATTTTCAAGATCAGAGAAAAATTGCATAACATAAAAATATCGCGGACAGGAATGTGCAGCGTGTACAGATTTGCATGCATCATGAGTGTTGTCGATTTCCTCTGCATCTTTTTTTAATGCCGTCTGACAAGTGAATGCAATAATAACAATGTCAATAAAATATTGGCCTTTGGAACTTTAGTTTCGTGTAGTTTGTATTGGATTTGGCTCTTTTATGATTGCATAAAAATGCTCTGGTGATAGTTACAATATATATGATTGAAAAATTTGCTTATCTTCTTCAATATATATGTAATTTTCCCTAAATCCGCCAGATACTTGGTACCTTTTTCATGTGGTTACTGGTTGATAGTTTTTTTTTTT